CACTCACAGTCGCCTAGTGCTTCATATATGTGCAAGAAGAACAGTGCGTTGCGCAGATAGTGAAGCGTACAGGAATTAGACCAGTACAGGACTTGGACCCCCGGTTGGGACCACCTCAGCTACCGCAAGTCATCCGCGCGTCTATTCTTCCCGTCCGGCCAGTCCGTTTGGAGGATATTCTCGAAGGATTGCACACGCTACGCTCCTCGACTCCTATGTCACCCGCGAACCAGTCTTAGTCGCAGTCTACCTTGCGCCCGCGAATTCCGGTAGGGTGTACTGACGTCCACTCAGCGACTGAGTCGGTCGCGCGTCACTTGGTGTTCAGAGAGAGACGCCTCTATCTGTCTTCATGTGTTTTCTACAGCACTTCAGTGCCGAATGCAACGTTGCGAAGAAGATGACAGCGAGAGTGGAAATGGCGCTGGAGAGAAACATTTGTTCCGTCTGCCTGATGAAACACATCGAAGCGTGTAAAAAGAAGTACTGGTGCAATAACTGCGGCGAAATATACCACCGCGCCTTTTGCAGGAGGAACAACGACATCCGTCAGGACGTGCACATGCCCCAAGAGGAGTTTCATCGCTGGCCGGACGAGCAAACACATCTCCCATTGCCATCTGGGAGCTTTTCGCGCGCCGGAACCCGAACCCCCGTGGAGCGCAAAAGTAGGGAGTCTAGGGCGAACCTGTGTGCAGAGGTGCGATAGGGGGAGCCAAGTCTCCCCCTACCTTCACTTTTGAGCTGGTACGGGGTGACCACCTTCACTTTTGGAATAAAAAATTTTTCGCTGGACGACAAAGAAGGAAAATAAGCAAAACAAACGCAAAAAAGATTATTGAAAGCATATATTTATGTATACGGCGGCATATATATTTAAAATAAAGGTTTTTAGTAAATGGTGTATTTGGAAGTAAAGCTTAGCAAAACTGTACGGATTTTATTAAACAAATTATGTTATAACGTATAGCGAAGGAAGTAGGTCGATCCAGGCAGTAACGGCGGAGAACCAGAATTTTGAATATTTAAATAGTGAAAAATCATGCGAAATTTCCACTGTTATAAATCTGTTGTTTGAAGATGTCAGCAGTTGCGACTTCATAGGTTTTGAAGAGTAGATGTTGCTCTATCAGCTAGTGAAGGAATCGGGTCGATTTAAGAGATAGTCGTTGAAAATCAGAGTTCTAAAACTTTACGCCATTTCTGCGTGTTTTTTGACTGTTGAGAGTTAAACTCTTATAAATCTTGAATGTGGAAGTGTATGATGTTGCGACTTCATAGGTTTTATAGAGTAAGGTTTGCCTTATCAGAATATGTCTTGTCCGTTCCGATCCATTGAAACACCTCCGAGATCCAGAGTCATGAAAAAGCAGGTAAAAAAGAGCTTTTTGAACTTCAACAGCTCATAACTTCTTCAGAACTGCATGAATCATGTTGCGACTTCATAGGTTAGATTCCTCTCATCAAGGGCTTTCAGATGATATATAATATGTGCGGGTTTAGAGCCTCCTGCGAATTATGACCGGGGGGGGGGAGACTTTTTAGGCCAAAGTCTCCCCCTCGCCCATTTTAATGTATTGGCTGGAGGCTGCCGGGGGAGACTTTGGCCTAAAAAGTCTCCCCCCCCCCCCCCGGGCATATGCCGTAAGAGGCGCGAAACCCCCACATATTATATATCATCTGAAAGCTCTTGACGAGAAGAATCTAACCTATGAAGTCGCAACATGATTCGTGCAATCCTGAAGAAGTTATGAGCTGTTGAAGTTCAAAAAGCTCTTTTTTACCTGCTTTTTCATGACTCTGGATCTCGGAGGTGTTTCAATGGATCGGAACGGACAAGACATATTCTGATAAGGCAAACCTTACTCTATAAAACCTATGAAGTCGCAACATCATACACTTCCACATTCAAGATTTATAAGAGTTTAACTCTCAACAGTCAAAAAACACGCAGAAATGGCGTAAATTTTTAGAATTCTGGTTTTCAACGACTATCTCTTAAATCGACCCGATTCCTTCACTAGCTGATAGAGCAACATCTACTCTTCAAAACCTATGAAGTCGCAACTGCTGACATCTTCAAACAACAGATTTATAACAGTGGAAATTTTGCATGATTTTTCACTATTTATTTATTCGAAATTCTGATTCTCGGCCGTTACTGCCTGGATCGATCTACTTTCTTCGCTGTACGTTATAACAAAATTTGCTTAATAAAATCCGTACAGTCCAACAAACTTCTACTTCCAAATACACCATTTACTAAACACGTCTATTTTAAATTTTTATAAATAAAATTTATAGATATTTTTAATATTCATCGTATCTGTGGCCCTAAAGAGGGCCGTTAGACCTAGAAAGATAGCTCCGTCCGTCCGTTCTATCCTCCCCCCGCACCTCCCCCCCCCCCCCCGTCGACGTTTTTGGGAGGTGAGTGTCCGACACTACCACCTTCACTTTTGGCCGGCCAGTGGTAGCTGAAACCACCTTCACTTTTGGGGGACCCGGCTCCCCCTATCGCACCTCTGCCTGTGTGTAGCACTTTAAGAACAGAATCATGGTTGGTATTTTTCCACTTCTTCCATCTCTTTGACTTTATAAAATGTTTCTACTTTGATTATAAAATGTTTCTACATTGATTACATCTGGTAGAATGGTGTGGTGGTTGGTGCGTAATGTGCCATGGAATGTTGATGGCCTGTTATGGTCGTGGAGAGGATGTGGTTGATGATGGATGATTGATAGTAGTGGAATGATGCCTGATGGTGATGGATTTGGATTGTGATGTTCGCGCGTCTAGTTTGCCTCTAGTTCATCATATGTATATATCAGAATAATCGCACTTATTTGGTAACCTTAGTTTAGCCATATTTAATCCCTTTCTGTATTTGTTGTATGCGTTTTCGCATTGTTTTTACACGGGCAGCTTATCCTTCATTTGTAGTTCATTCCTTCTCGCTTTACCGCGCCACCGATAGGATTTTTCTCTTTTCGTTTCATACTCCCGAAAAGGGTAAGGTATTGACACCAGTGGCCGCCGACGTTATCACGTAATCACCTTTTCGAACGCCCATGTCCCTCGAGGGGGGGGGGGAGTGTCGCGGCTCGCGCGATGTAGACCACTCCTCGATACAGCGGCCGGGAACGCCGTCTGCCGCTGTAACCGGGTGCACCTCTTGTATTCGCGCCCGGTTACAGCGGCAGACCCTCCCGCTGACTCGCTGCCAAGAAAAGGCGTATATAAGGTGGCGCCGAAGGCGTTACGCGTCTTATTCCTTCCCTGGTTTGATTTAATCCTCTTATCGATTTCACATGGGGATCTTGGCAGCCGTTAGCGAGCTCCCGCAGCAGAGTTTGTGTTGTGGATAGCGGTCAGCGATAGATCTTTTCTGGATGTATACGCATACACGCAATAAGCGTATGCGCATGCGTATGCGTGTCTGCTGTAAACTAGCACATGAAAAGTTTTTTGTTCGCGAGCTGCTGAGAAACTTTTGTTATATAAAGATGTAAACTTAGGACTATATGTAGTAAAAAAAACGGGAAGCTGTCTACGTTTTCCGGCTTTGAAAAAACTCTAACAACTTAGATAACGCGCTTTCCGCCTCTTCAAGAAAACTGAAAAATTTGTCTTCTTCCAAATTTTTTAAGGAATGTTGAGGCAAATAATATTTTTCTTTTTGACCCACTGGTTTTTAGGTTTAGCGAACACATATAGCAAAAAAATGAGAGATTTCGAGGTTAAAGTACTTGAGGCCATGAACTTTACAAACACACTATGTAGTCATAAATCATGATGTTTTTATTGTAAGTAATTATTTGGATTTGGAATTTCCAAAACCCATCTAATGTCTTGCGAACGCTCTAAAAAAAGCTACAAAATTCAGGGAAAGCCATGTCAGTAAAATCGCAAAACTGCATAGTGTGCAAGAAAATGTGGCTATAAAAAGGAGAAAAAGTGAGGCGGATGATATTAGGTTAAGGCATAAATAACTGCCGTTTTTAATCCCGTTTCAGGCCACCTTTTCTCTATCAAAATTTTTTCTCTAGAACAGATCAGCTTAAGGTTGAGAAGCCTTTTCACGCTCTATCTAATGGTGATTGAAACTTCTTATCTGTTTAAAAGTTACAGAGCTTCAAATAACCGCATCCATAGTCAGAATTGCAATGCATTCACTTTTGGCCAAAATTCAAGCGCGAGTAAAAAGTGCTTTTTTGAAAATTTGGCTGCTATACGAGAAAGAAATCGCTTACTTTATAACACTGAAATATTTTCTTGGAGTATTATCTGAACTGAGATATCGGCTCAACTTGGGTAGCCATTGCAGCCATTCCATCACCACAGGTTTCTTCTGAAGAAGGCAATTGGCAAAGCTATGCTTCTTTCCGTAAGCGTAAGATCGGACATCTTGTTGACAATTTTTGCAGAAGCAATTAGCTGCTGTTCAAGACGCAGAAAATCGGAATTCCTATGAGAATTCCCGGTTGAGGCATACTGAAAAAATGTTGAAAAAAATGACATATTCAGTTGACTTACTCTTTTCGCAAACCTTCCGCTTTTGGTTTTCTTTTGTCCCACTGGCTTACGTCTACAAGAAAGCCAGCTTAACATTCATACTGACAAACTGTGAAGGGAGCTATGATTTTTCAAAGCAATCCAAAAAAACCTTACTCTTTTCCACTACAGACTTTCACCCTTTGTGATGTGAGTAGATGTGAATGTGCGCTGTATTGCAGAAGGTTTGCTAGGGTTTTACCGCTTGGAAATGTAGATTTTTCAAAAAATTATAGCACCTTGAATTGATGATTCGCAAAACAGTCATTATTTCTGCATCAACCTAATACTGAGGTTCGTTGGCCAGTGTTATGGGCTTTGCTACCAACAAGGAAAGAAATTTTATTTGCATCATAACCCGTGTAACACAACCCTTTCAGATACAAAGCAATGGAATAAAGAAGAAAAGTAGTAATTGCACTTGAATCAACAGGCTCTCTTACAGTCACAGGAGGTGTAAAATATAGTTCAGTAACGTCAAGACTATTACTGGCACGAGATGTAATTGTATAGAAGAATTGCACAGGAATCCATGGCATGTGTAAATTATACCCAAAACGCGATCGGCCTTCTCGTCTTCACTCAGCTTGACCTAAAATGTAAAGTATAAAACAAACTGAATTGTATTTGACTTGAAAAACATGATTATCATATGTTGCTTTCTGTGATTACTGTTCCAAATAGACTAAAGAGTGCATTAGTAACAATTTCTACTGAAATGTCGACAACGAAAAATAATGTGTATAGTAGATGTTGCTTGGTACATTTGTAATTCATTTGTTCTAACTGTTTGCTAATCTATTTTGTATCTAATTATTTGTCCTATTTGATCATTTACTTCATGTTCATCTATTTGTCTAATTAAAATATTTGTGATGTATTTGTTCATTCATTCATTGGCCAAGTTGTGATATAATGTGTTTAGTGTCTTTTCGGTTTTTATAGTTTTCAAGTTTTGCTTAGCTTCATATCGCTCATTATACCACGTGTGGTGGCTCCGTGGCTTTCAGTGCCTTAGGCGGAAATAGCGCCTTTGGTGGAGCAGTGTAGCTGCTGGTAGACAAGGTAGTTCAGCAGCTTTATTGAGTCAATCAACATGCCCGCATGGGTGCAATGGTAGAATGCTGAGGATTGAAGGCGTGGTGAAGTAGTATCACAAACATCTGGGCAATGATACACTCATATACTCATATCACAGCAGGTCATGCTTATGGCATGACCTTAACGGTGCTCAGAAGAACTAATGATAAGTTGCAAGGAGGTGCCGACAAAGTCGGCACACTCCCGCCAGCGAGGGGAACAAATAAGAAACAGCGAAACGAGCAGCATAAATGTAAACACTGTAACTAAGAATACTAACAAGCGAATAAGCGAGCTGTAAGCGAATATTTATCAGGATGCCTTAATGGACGTATCTGGGGAGCCTGGTAATTGAAAGCGAGGTGCTGGTTAATGCAGTTGTGCCAGCTGGCATAAGATCGCAGAGAAGCAAGTGGCAGTAAGGCAGAATATAGTGGATAATTATGTTGTCTTAGTATATCCAAATTCATCAACGGCAAAAATGGAAAGTGAAGGGAATAACACTGATAATTCTTCTTACTCTCCTTGCCTCGTCGCGGGTTTCCGATCATGTGCCTGTCGATCTCATCATTGCTTCGTCGTTTATCTCTTCCAGGCATGGTGACCTGCGAAGTCGGTATATCATCTTTTGCTGGTATATTGCCGTCCATGGTATCTCCGCGAGTCAAAATTGTGCGGTCATCAGAATGCTGATTGAAGCGCTCTTCGCTTATCTCGTCTTCTTCCATTGTCGCGAAATCTACGCTCATCATCGCGAGAGTATCCATCTCTCTTTTCGCATCGTGTAAAAAGGTTTTGAACAGGCAAGATTGCCGTTCTTTGACTACTTGGCTTATCTCAAAATTGCCTTTGTATGTTTTGCGTAAAGGATTTGATGTTCTACAATACAAACAAAAACATATGCATCGGAAAGCAACTGATAGAAGCCAGCCTCCTTTTCAAGCTTTTGTAGCTGAAATATGATTGTTTTTCTCTCGCTTTTGAAGTGCGTGAGATAAAATTCCTCAAATTTGTCGACTATTGACTGCAAAATCGTCGATCTCGCTTTGACTTGCGATAGAGATAAAAGGAGAATATCTAAATTTGCAAAACATTTCTTTTTCAAGATTTCATTGTGCTGCAGAGTGAATTTAACATCGGTAATAGGCTCGAATTTTTTGAGCAGTTTTGCTAGTGCTACCGAGTGAAATGAAATTGTCTCTTTGAAGAATTTTAGAGACATTTTTGGTGCAAAAATTTGCGGTTATGGCAAAAATATGGCTGCTTTTGAGCCGTTCGCTGCTTTTCCAGCGAAAATTGGGAAGATTTTGTCCCGGATTGCGGTAGAGAGTGGCTGTCGAGAGAGTGAAGCAGCGGATTTTGGGCGCTGGGTCCCAAGATTAGAATAGCTAACCTTTGTGCAGCTGAGAGAGTGATGGGCCTTGCGTATTTGGCCGATGCACCATAAGTGTGGTGGCTCCGTGGCTTTCAGTGCCTTAGGCGGAAATAGCGCCTTTGGTGGAGCAGTGTAGCTGCTGGTAGACAAGGTAGTTCAGCAGCTTTATTGAGTCAATCAACATGCCCGCATGGGTGCAATGGTAAAATGCTGAGGATTGAAGGCGTGGTGAAGTAGTATCACAAACATCTGGGCAATGATACACTCATATACTCATATCACAGCAGGTCATGCTTATGGCATGACCTTAACGGTGCTCAGAAGAACTAATGATAAGTTGCAAGGAGGTGCCGACAAAGTCGGCACACCACGTATCATTTTCAGAAAAGTTATGAGAAGTCTACGTCATCAGATATTTGATCGAATAAAAAGAGCTTAGATCGCCAAGGCTATGCTTCAATGTAAGTGATTTCGGACTCGATCAAATCTCACAAGTTTGCTCAGACCTTCAAATATTATTCTATGGCGAGTGAATAGATACATAATAATTGGAAGATTTTTTGAAGATAAACATATTCCGATTTCTTTCCTTCAAACGCACATTATCAACTCGCGTGGCATAATCAAGTTCAACCACACCCAAAGTAAGCTTTCTACATGGTGCATCTACCAGACCACGAATCCAGATCAGTCTTAGGCCGAAAACATAGCTTACGCAATTTCATTCGCGGCGCGATTTGGCATTACTCCAGTTGGTCATAACACATCTTAAGGGGTTTCTGAATGTACGGAAGATAGTGCATCTTATCAACCGACAAAGGTTATACATCGTGTGCCTTTGGAGTCTACCAGTATTGAATTTGAAGACATCTGGCGAATTGCCAGATTGCGTGGCTACTGAAATTGAGTGAGATATGCCCTAGGCCTTAGGCTCCGGGCAGGGTACACGCGATTTCATCGCCTCCCGAGTCTCCAAACAAAACAACAGCCACAGTTCACTGCATGCAGTCAGTTATCTTGCGTTTCGGCTGTGATAGTTAGCCATGATTGGAAAATTATCAGAATCAAAATTCAAGATGATCAGCATGCAATGGATTCGTAACTGTTGTTTAGTTGGGGTATTTCGGGGCGACGGAATCGCGTGAGCTCTGCCCGAGGTCTAAGGCTTAGCATACCTCACGCGGTTCCAGTCGCTGCGCGATATGACACTGCAGCAACTACTCATAATTTATCGTAAGCACGCTTTGCTTGGTCGAGACTGGAAGCGTTTGCGAGGATTTACAAAAGTTACGCACCTATGCACTTGAAAGCTGCGCAAAATGAACTGGAGGCATCTGGCAAATCGCCACGTCGCGCAAATGCGGCGGCTTGTTGAGATCGCGGGAGGTATGCCTTAAAGGCAGTGTCCCGGCAGATTTTGCACTTCCACCTTCCTGCATGTTTTAGGCCTTTTCGCCACGTAGAACCCGAATTCAAGCTTTGAACGGGCTAAAAAGGCCGATTTTGGGGGGTTTACCTGACTATTAGCATTACCATGCAGAAAACTGCTTTTGAAGCTTCCATTAGAAATTTCGATTTTCCTTTTTGCAGGTTTTATTGTTGCTATTCAATGCGGTGGGAGAACACTTGGCGGGAACTAGAAGGCTACAACACTTTGGAGATCACTTTCTTAGTGCATCATTTATACTCACAATAAGTAACCTAGAATGCTCAATCTCAACCTCAATGTCCATTCACTGCGCAGACCTTATTCTGTTACTGGGTGTCTAAGCCTTGATTACTTCAGTGGCAGTCCCAGGATTTGCGTACGGGGTGGGGAGAAGGACAAAAATTTTTCCGAATAAAAGTGCCGGCCTACAGCCATGCACCTAAAAAAATTTTGAGACACTCCTCAAAGTTTTTGTGGGCCCGCGATCTTCCGAAATTTAGAGAAAGAAACGTGGCTGCCGCCCCGAAACGATTTTCTTACAAGGCTAATATGAATTTCCAAAAGATTGAAAATTTCTTCTAATAAATACGAAAGTTACTCGCACATTTTTTCAACCGATTTAAGTAACTTTGAAATAATCGCGCTCCCTTCCTCTTTGTGCACCACCGCTTCATTCTATCCCGCTCTCTCCCTAGGTTCGAAAACTTTTTGTAAGTCATCTTTATGACTTTTTAAAAATTGAGAACAGCCTGTATAAGAAAAGTGTGATGACCTCCAGGCTACCCCTTCCAAAACTTTGGTGCTACAAGCCTAATAAAAAGACGAGAGACATCCCAAAAAGTTCCTGAACTGCTCCTCCTCAAACGAGATTTCTTGGACCACCATTACCGGCATCGTAGTGGAAAAATAGAAAAATTAAGCTTTCCAGATTTATGTGTGACTAGTGGCTGAATCAGATCATCGAACAAACCTTATATAAAGACTGCAACGGGAAACCTGCATTGTTCCAAAAAGTGTGAAATTGTGCGTCAAGGAGTGTAAAATTAAACTCAGATGATTTTCGGGTTGAATAGATGACATCTTAAATTTACTTTTATTTTGATAGGTTTGTGGGAAGTATATTATGGCCGTTTGATGAGCAAAAATTGGTTCAAATATTGCAAATATTCTAAAATCAGGAAATTATTCGATCGTACCCGCTGCCAGATTTTAAAATTCTACGTCTAGGTGGCGGAGCATTTCGGAAGGGATTTGGTCTGATGCCTCCGATTCATAGAGCGAGTCTACGTCGCAGCTGGTGACAACAAAATACTGCGTTCTGTTACATAAAGCAATTGAAATCAGTTTTTTATACCGCTCAACAGAAGAGGGAATGCTTGGAATTTTCAACATATTATTGTAGCTGTATTGAATCAACAACTGCGGGGCACAGCAGGTGCACAGTAAATTCAAAAACTAAAAAAATTGATTATGTTTTTCCGCATACATACACCTAAATTTAATCTCCCACGTACCTGAATTTCGCAAACAAATTGGTTACCACACTCTAGAAAAAGCGTTTTTCGACTTAGCGCGCATGTGCAGATCACGCTTGAGCATGTTAAACGTGTGGATAACTTATATAACTCGTATTCAGAATATTTGCAGGTAGGGGAGGGAAGGGGAACATCTGAATTGCAAATGATCTCTCTAAAAAAATTTTCTTTTTCCCCCAGAATAAAGATTTCCGCAACATCTGTCCAAGCAATGCCTGGAGCCGTGGCACGGAAGTCGGCACAGGAGAAAATCAACTCAACTTCACGTTATTTTCATAAATACATCCAAATGCAATTGAATTGGGGAGGTAATAAATTTAACGAGTTTCTAAAAGGCCACAGATGCCTCAGACACAGAATATGGCAAATATATATTATTCCTATCTTGTTCTAATGCAAGCAAGTGTTGAGAAAGAAGTTTTTTCTAAACAGAAAAGCTTTTCAAAGGCTAATTGTTGTTGCTATATATTAGAATGATGCATAATTCTTGCACCAAAATTTTCGAAATATGTCATTCTCTCTAATTTTGAACAAATCTTTTAGTTGACTGAAATCGGAGAAGGAAAATCTTGCGCTTTTAGGATGTGCTTGAGTCGGAATCTTTTGAAGGCATATGGCAACGTGTAAGCCATGAATTTAGATTTTCTAGAAAACTTGTGGAATTTGCTCAGTATTGATTTTCTAAAATGAACTATAAAATCTACTTTTGATGTACATAAGAAAAAGCATGTTGAATTGATCAAATTGCTCAAGCATTTCGAATTATTTTTTGTTTTCTTGGTACAAGAATTGTGCATGAAGCTTATGATTTAAGCATTTTTCTGTTTCAATCAAGAAATTCAAGCAGGGTAATGCAGAAAATGCTACTGAATCTTCACCGATGTAGGCCGTAATTTTTTGTAAGAGAAGAGAAAAGCTTCCCGCAATTTCTTACCACTTACCATATCTTTTCTTGGTTTCGGATCCAGTGCAAGTTCACCCGTGGCGGCAACGACTCGACTCCAGCAATCACGAACGATGGCAGCTCCTTGCACTAAAATTTGATTAGATGTACGAATTTTACATAATTTGGCGAGGGAAGTAGTTGGAGATTCCAAAAATCAAAATTTGAACTTTCTTTCTGTGTTCATTCTCACAGAAGAGTCAAAAAGTTAAAATTTCCTAGGAGCGGAAAATACCGAGAAAAATAGTGCGACATTTCACTGTGGCTAAAAGAACACTCACCACAAACTTCTCTTTTTGCTGGTGGTTCCGTAATTACGGCTTTAATGCATACACTTCCGGGACAATCGACTACTGGTATCGCATTTTTCATCTGTAAAAATTTGAAATATCAATTTCCCATCTTAAGTCTCATTTTTCCGTTTATTCTGGCTGTAATCGTATCTCCTCTGGTCTCTGAGAAGCCTTTTCTCAATAAGCTGATTTTTCAATGTTAAATTTCCACAAAACAAAGAGGAGAAAGGTATTAGGTTGGCTCGAAAGTTCTTGCGTAATTCAAACAAAATTCAATAACTTTTCAACACCTGAACCTAAATTCACATTCTTGTTCTCTTAAAATATTGGAAGGCCTGCGCTTCATGATGAAATTTTAAGCGCAAGATTTCATTAGCTGGACATCGAGAACGAAGCTCTCAAATATGGGGCTTCAAGATGTGCGATTTTGAGTTTGGTGCCAGAAAATCGTAGAGTGTCGCTAGCTAGCCGAAAAAAAATCTGTGAAAATTACTTACACAGCAGAAGTTTATATGTTATTTTGGAAGGCTTCGATCTTGTGCGGTAAAGCAAGAACAAAAAATTAGTGAATTATGTCATTTTGCGCGAAAAATCCCCTCATTGCCGCAGTTTTTCGGCAAAAATACTTTTTTACACTCCAAAAAAACGTTGCAAGGTTCCAAATAGGCATTATGTCTTATTTCTGGTTGCAAACTGCGTTTTTGTGGAAAAATTACAGCGATAAGGGAATTTACCCTGTAATATCACAAATTCCACAGATTTTTTGTTTTCGCATTTCCATGCGAGATCAGAGCCTGCTAAAATAACGTATGGACTTCTGCTGTGTAATTCCTACAGATTTTTTTCAGCTAGCTAGTGGCTCTCTGCAATTTTCTGGCACCAAACTCAAAATCGCAAAATTTGAAGCCATATATTTGAGGGCTTCGTTCTCGATGTCTAGCTAATGAAATCTTGCACTTAAACCTCCATCATGGAGCGCAGGCCTTCCAATATTTTTAGAGAACAAGAATGTGAATTTAGGTTCACGTGTTGAAAAGTTATTGAATTTTGTTTGAATTACGCAAGAACTTCCGAGCCAACCTAATATTAGACCCAGACGGCGGAAATGCAATTTCATCTGCGTCTAATGTGACACCTACAGGCATCAGCGAGCATTATTAGATTCCCTAAGACTCAAGAAGCGGGGAGTAAACTCCTTGCTGATATTTCAGAGGGAGCTTTGATCTCATGTAATCTGCAAAATGCCTATAAATATCGTATAATCTTACTTATGATGCACAGAAAGACGTATAACGTCGTATTGTCGTCCCGTATGTATTTCTCAAGGGAATTTATCGAAAAAGTCCAGAAACAAAGAAAATTTCATGAATATGTACTAGCAGGAAGATGTAGCTTATTGAATAAAAATTATTCGCAAGTCATATGGCTATAACGTATGAGTGGGCTATACATTAAAACGGTGGTGATAAAAACCTTCAGTGTAAAACAAGTAATTGAAATTGCACTTCAATAGTTTAAAACTTTTATTTTTCATTTTTGAAATCAAGAGAATGAACCATTACAGAATGAAAGTTCAAAAACTCAAAAAAAAACAAAAATCTTCAGAACTTTTTTGCATGTGTCTACAGGGTGCGCCAAAATATTCAAAGTAATGCCACAACAACGGCAATGAGAAATTTGGTTTGGATTTAATATCACAGAATGCCATAAGCACACTCTACAAAAAGCACTATTAAGATCCCGAATCGGTCCTTATTTAGAGAAGTAAGAATTGCAAAAATCAATGTTCATGACAGAGAAAACTCAAACTGACGCAAATTATTAAATAGTCAAAATTTTTGTTTTGAATGCTTGTAAAGATTCCAACCCTCATGATCTTAAATTTTAAAACTAGCTCTATTACACAGCGAAATCTTTGCCTGAGAGAAGCGGGCAGTAAAAAGATACATGCTGGGCAAATTTGTGAGCCTCTACCCGCGTGCAGCGCGCGACAAAGCCAAGGAAATATTATGAATTTTTACCGAAAAGCAGAACTTGCAATTTCACATTTTTCAACTAAGCTGCAATATTATTGAACCAAGAAAACAATATCAAGCTTGGCCGCTGGCTGAGCCGGTCTTATATTCGCATGGCGCTTAATGAAACACGCGCAAATAATTGTGGCGCACCCTGTATATTTTATTTATCAAATTGCTTAAACATTTTGTTATGGGTCAAATTCTTTTCTGTGGAAAAGTTAAATGCTAATCTGTATCAATGATAATCGAGTTATATTCTTGAGTACTTAGACAAGATTCTCAAAATCAAATACGAATTTCCTAAAATCAGAAATTGAAGCTATAAACATTTACGCTTTTCAATACCATCTTACCTCTCTATGAAAATGTCCAATTTTTTGCATGAAATTATTTAAAAAAAAAGAAGCTTTCCCCATGCTCTTTACTAATCTCATGTTGTCTAAACTAAAACGAAAAATAAAAGAAAAGCGATCAACACTTTTAGGCATATGTCACCACATCCATTCACAGCAATCATTCATAAGACGTGAATAATAGCTGACAGTCGGCTGACAAGGCATCACGCAAAATCTTCCATATAATTTGTGATCTTTTTCTAGAGCTATAAAGGTCTCACCTGATCACAGCTCTCATTAGCAAACCACGGAAATTCTTTCAAGAAATAGAGCTTGTTTGTTTCATCGTCTTTAGGCTAGAAATCGAGGAACTTGAAGGAGATTTAAAGGGCTAAAGTTTATGTAAACTTACCCATCTTAATTGTAGCTGAGGAGAAGAGCAGCTATAGCATTTATCTAAAACAAATGCGAATTTTTTTGTTGTTTTGGGACCATAATTATCAATCTCTAGATCCTGATCGGGCGGTGTTGTTATAGACGAAAGCCCGATTGGGTGACTGCTTCGTCCATTACGGTAAAAAGCACCCGAACAGAACAGTGAGATTGATAAATACACCCCTGTAAAAACAGATCTGAGCTGAAATGCCTCACCTGAACTGACAAGAAGTGTTGCGCAATAAAGCAACAATATAAGCAGTAATAAATGGAACATGAGCTAGAGTTCCGATAAAATTCTGCGGAAGTTTCGAGTTGAACAAAGTCGCGATTTTGATCGTTCTTGACTCTTCAAAGTGTAGAACAGAATTCGGAGGATTTAGAAAGGGAGTAGGTAATGCCTTGGCTAAGTCGAACGGATGTTTATGGAGAACAGAGTGCTCAGGCGGGGCGGGTGGCGGGTTCTCTATAGCCGGGGGGCGAGCCCGAGAGAGCTCGACACTAGTCCGGGAACGAGTGAAACGTCGCCTGAGTCGTCACTGAGAGAGCGCTCGAGTTGAGGAGACGACGCAACGAATCGATGTGAATGTGTGAGGCGAGCTTGGAGTTCATGAAATAAGTTCGGAACGACGTCGAAGAAACGATGAAGTGATGAGAAAGTCGGGTGTTGGCGGATGAAGCCATAAACATTAAAAGAAACGGCGCATTAAAGAAGATTGAAGAACAGTTGCCTCACATCTGCTTCTTGGAACTTTGCCAGGACAGATTTTCCACCGTTTCTTGCGATAAATTTTCTGAGAAAGATAGTGTTCCGTTCATCATTTAGTGTGAGTCACTGCTTTATGTATATGTAAGTAACTGGACCTAAACTGCCGTTATGTTTTACAGACTTTTTTGTTCTGTTTTCCTTTTCTGTTACTTGGTTAACTGACTAGTCCGTTACATGTATTTCTGTTTGTTACTGAATTGTGGTAGATTGCCAGCATGCCTTAAGCTGTCAAATAAGGATAATAAAGACGTAAAATTACAAAGATAAAGTATGCATTCCTCTTCCTCACCTTACTTCTTCCTTACCTCCTCCATTATTCATCACTTTGTAATATGCATGCTCAGCTCAGAATCTCTCTCGATTTGTGCTTTTGGACAAATTTCATTTGTCTCTCTAATCCTGGATCAACAAAAATGTATACTATCAATCCATTCTATAATCTTTTCGGCTCCGGGCATACCTCACAATCTTCGTTCACGACGCGACTTGGCAATATCCCACTTCCTTATAACTTGTCGCAAGCTCAATTTGACCAGTCCTAAAATAGCACATTTCATAGACTCACAACAGTTGAATACACCAAGCATTTATGGTCTGCGAATGTTAGATTTGAAGAGATCTGGCAAATGGCCAAATTAATGACGACTAAAATCGCGAGAGGTATGCCCAAGGCCTTAGACATCAGGCTATATCTGGTTTAACCACTGTTAAGCTAATGTCACAGCGTTTGAAAAATCTTTGCTCAAAAGACCGAATCCATAATTTTGTTCCCTGCCAATTGTAGTGCATTGACACCGCTACAGTAAACCTACAGTAAGCAAGGTGAATCTGAGAACGAAAAGTTGAATCAGTTTGGAATTTTTTGGGCCGCAGCCACGAAAATCTAATCATTACAATAGCCGTGCAGAGCACAAATAATTTTTAACGTGTCAGGTTCGGCAAAACGTGGTGCTTCCAAACGGCTACCGTAATCTTACAGTAGTACAAAACGATTTTAGCAAATTTATTCACATGGTTTGCGTTATATATTTCCTAAAAAGGGGTAATCACTACTCAAATGCCATTTCAAGCTCTTTTGGGTCAGTCCGATTTGTTAGCGATCCATACATTTTCCTTATTTCTAATCTTTCTTTTCTAGCCATTCTATTTCATACATCTCTCTTCAGTCTTTGCCTTTTCTTAATGATCTTCTCCTTTTCCCTTCTTTTCATCTTCGTTTTTCTTTTTTGCTATTCGAATCTATCTTTTCCACACATTCTCCTTTCTTCTTTTTTCCTGTTTTTCAGATTTAGTAATTTTTCCCACTTATACTTTTCATCTCTCATTTTTCCTTTTCTCCCACCTCTCTTTGGTTTTTATTAGTTCTCATTTGTTTTCTACTTAGTCTGCTCCCACGAGACCCATTTACCCATACTTCAACTGCATAGTTCCCACCATTCGATAAAAAACAAACAGCTCCGAAGCATAGAAGCGCCATTTCGTCAAGCCGAAGCCATATCCCATTGCATAGCACTCAACAAACCAATTTGTTTGCGCTTATGAGTGTAAATGGGGCATGACTGAAGCTGATCCCTAAAGAATTGCTTTTCAGAAAGAAAGGATGTATAATATAATGGTACTGAACATTGGAAAAAGCTGTTAATGCTAGAGATTAAACAATAGGTCTCCCCAAGGCTAAGAGATCAATTTGCACAACTCTTTCGGAGTAGCACTAGATATGATTGAAGGATATTGAAATTGAAAATTGTTAAGACCTTTTCAGAAATGACTGAATCAAATTTCATGGCTTTCAGAACCGAGTTAATTGAGACTACAGTATGCGACTTTTTCGCTATGAACTCAAAATCTCAAAATTCCGGCAGGTGATTTTGTTTCTGGAAAAAACGTACAGCTGTTAAGCTTTATGCTGTTAAGAGCTCATACTAATGAGCATCGTTTTTTCAGTCTTTCTCTACCTAATTTGAGATCACCGCCGCATTAACTCTGCTTTGTAGATAATTCATACAGCTAATTTACCCAATAAATACCAGTTGTAAAATTATGTCGTAAATTTATGTCATTGTAATACATGATTGTATGATGAGTGAGTAATTCAATAAATAGTAAATAAATAATTCATTGAGTGAATGTATTTATAAGGCAAATATTGAGTTTGTTGAATATTGAGTTTCAAGAATTAGGATCCATATTCGACACCTTTTTACTGATATATAAATATTGGAAGTATGAAACACTAGCTTTGCATGTCATAGAGTAAAAAGCAGATAATCTTGAATTGCGAGCGCAGAGGAAGAATTGGCTGGATTTCTGAGCTTCCTTTCTCAAAATTAGTTGGAAGTTTTACTGTAAAGGCGTGTAAATCCGCTCTTGATCTTCGAAAAAGAAAACAAGGTAAATGTCTCCGTCGCGACTTATTTATCGTTAAAAAACCGTCGCAATGCTATAATTTCTTAAGAGATATTTTGAGAAGATATCGAACACATCCCTGCATTGCTGGAATCTAGCGATTCAGAATATATTTCGGAAAACCGGACATGCAAATTTGCATGAGACAAATCTTCGCAATACGATAATTTCCCTCAACAAAACTTTTCAATCAAGTCATGGATATTACCGGATTTCTGGCAAACTTCTGAGTTCAATAATGTATTTTGACTTTGTCAAATATCTCAGTAGTGGAACAGATCCATCTCATCATTCCATGAACATCTTATGAGATCTCATCGCTCATTCGGACATGGGCGCAGCTTTCTCTGATACATATCGCGAGACGGGATCTGCGCAACATGTGAAGCTGATCAGCCTCAGCATTCGTCAAACAATCAAACCATCCGTTTCGGCGAATTAGCATTTCTGTCCAGAAGCGACGAAGCAGCTTCTAATTGGCGGTATTCGCTACTGAAGGGATAAAGCCTAGCTCAGAACTAATAGGGAGAGGGGTAGAAAAACGATAAGAATTGAAGAAACCGTATACAAATACTATACTCAAGACCAAGGTAAGGATAGTTCATGGTCTTGACACTTTACCTTTTCTCTTCTTCAAGGATATAGAGGATTCTAAATCGATGACTCTCCAGCTTCTACTCATTTCGTAGTCCATTTGAGTAGATTTACCTAGTAATTTGAGTAGATTTACTAGTAAATTCTATTTTTCAAGTAAATATTTCCACTAAGTTGTTTCTTGCCATTTCATCAGAAAATTCTTCTCTACCAATAGTAACGGTTGAGAAAGCAACGATTTAAACAAAAAGAAGGTTTACAACACTATTTCGAAACATTATCTGCTCGAAGATAGAGGCAGACTATTGCTTCCAAATTACCAAATTATCAAATTATATTGTGCACAAAAACGACTTAATATAAGTAAAGAATTTCGTCTTGATCTGTGACAAAATGACCTGCGCATGCGGCTTCGCAGATGACAATTTTTTTCTCATGAAAGCAAAGAATTAATTCATAAATGAAATCAACTTTTTGCCTCTTAATACCCACCCACTTTACTATTTTTCTTCTACCTCCCTCGTAATCTCTTTGCACTTGAGCTAATCTTAAACCGCTTGATATGCAACACTGGATAGAACTTTTTAACCGGCCAGCCCGCTAAATCGAATTGCCGCTAAGTGACTGACTGATCAAAAGGGATAAGCATAGCATTATTGAGGGGCAAAAAAGGTTTTTCAGTTGGGTGAATGCAATTATCATAAGAAATTACACATTTCCGTCATATATTTGCTTTTTGTAACCTGTTAATTTTGTAACAATTTGCGGGAATATTTCTTCGCTTAATCGACGGTTTCCCTTATAAGCTCAACATTTTTCTTCTCCGTGAGCGAGCATCAAATTGAACTGGAGAAAACTTCAAAATTAAATGATTTTCTGTAGAGAATTATCATATATCGTAAATTTTTCGCGCGTGACAATCAAGACTAAAACATCCCTTCTCTGTTTTTCTTTCCTCCTATCCTTCTCTCTCTCTTCTCCCTTTCACACTCAGAATTCGTATCATAGATGGATATTAAGCAGATAGCTCGTGACTATAAATCCGTTATTCCACAAGAGGAAAGAAGTTGTAAACCCACTCATTACCCAATAAATCCGGGTTTACATTCCAGTAACTAGTTCTCCGTGCGACCTACATCTCGCGGGTCGCACGACTTGCTTCTCGGGATAAAGGCTATAATAAATAATTTATCTGTTACAAATAGAATAAACTGTACAAATCTAGAGAGATGATCGGCTTAGTTGTAAGTGAAGAATAATGGAATTATAAGTTAATCTTATGATCAATTCTGATATTACACAAGTATTGTGAAAGCTCTGATAAGGCAACAAAAAACCAGACAAATAAGAGAAGGGAGGGAGGGGGGGGGGGGAGGGTTAATTCTTCAAGGTTGCCATGCCAGCGCATATTGTCCGTTCTTCTCGATTTTGCAAGTCTTTCCTTCCTGAAAACCAAGAAATTTGTGTAGGGTTACGGTAGCCTCTTCTTGTTTTGTTTTTTTCCACGGCAGTAAACATTGAAGGGAATTCAGTGAGGCGGAAACCGCCACCGTCACCGCCATCATCACCAACACCACCACTGGTTGGCCTTGAGCGGAACGAGATGTGCGGATAACTGAGGAACGAGGTGAAGAAGTCGAGCCGACCGGTTTCTGGGCTATTGGCTCATAGATGACGAAATTCGAGCGACGAAAAAGTGCAGAATCTGATTCTACAGTAAGATGTAATATCAAATATAGCAATTGCCTTTGAGTAGGCCCAACTAGTAATGAAGGAGAAGAAAACGGTAAGATTCCAAATAAGTACTCTTCGATATCTACATTCACCAGCAAATTTTGTTTATTTCTATGTCCGAAAGCTCTTGGGTACCCTTGCACCCTTGGGTCATGAAGTCTGCTGAAGGATGAAGGGAGTAGCAAGGAATTCACCTTGAAATGAGATTTGTAAGCAAAATCGTCCAAAGCGACAACGGTTTCGAATTTTCCTCCCAACGTTGTTTCGGCCATCTTTTGGATTTCGTCAGCTGCGGAGAGGAGATCCTAAAGGAAATACTTCTGATATCGTGGTCAAAGTCATTACGTCATTTTTTAAATCAAGCAACAACCGACATTTATCCCTATTTCATTTGCATTCTTCCCAAGCTCAACTAGTCCTCTGGGGCTTATCGTGTTTAATCGTTCCGCGACCGTGCAACGGTGGCTTAAGAGCAAGCAAGCGAAGAAAAAGCTCACAAATTCTTCTCAGCAGAATAAATTCATAGAAAATGCAATCTAATTAGAGAAAAGCAGCAATGATGTCAAATCTAGAAAAGCGTCATCACAGTATCATTTCCAGGAATTTCTTCGACTTCATTTTGGAAACTACTACATAGGTTAACAACTAGTCTCTTTTTAACTGTTTTGTCATTCCCCTTGTCCCTCTAAGTAGATGCACAAAAAAAGTCAAAGTTTGTATAAAGCTGCTTTCAGCACTACAGCACCATGTATTATGACTGAGAGTTATGAGACTGTCTTTTTTTGCTGGATATTTGCACTGTATTAGCATAACTATAGATTCCGTAGATCAGTGATTAACCATTGTAGCTCTGAAGGCGTAAGTTTTTTCAATAATAAAGCCTTACCTTTCCACCCATTGCTCCTTTCATAGCTGCTTCGAGTTGCTTGTTACAGCATGTGAAACCTAAAACGAGGAACTAGACATTCTATTTTTGGGAACGACACTTCAAATATATATTTTCATTGAGAAACGCTTATGTTTTTCCTTACCGTAGAACCTCATTAAGTGATACCAAAGTTCTTAAAAAAGTTTTCCTGCCTACTAAAAATTACTGAGGAGTGCTTGTAATTGCTGTTCCAAATCCTCCAGCATTCCTATTCGTAGAATTTTTTTCAAACCTCTACAGACCCAAAAGTCTTTTATAGATCTGAGCCTCTCTGAGTGGCTGTAAATGTACGATAGGCCTAGCAAGCAAAGTGCAGCTATTTGAATTATAAAAAAGTGGAAGAATTAGGCCAGTATGAGGGAATACTTAAGCTGTAAACCATAAGACAAATAATAACACAGGACAATCATATAAGGCATAAGAACCTTGTAACAATGGGTGGCCTCTCAACTTTTTGAACTTCAATGGTTTTGCATCTTTTTCTTTTGCAAATAAAAAGGAATATTGATATCTTTGGTAGGGGCTTACAATAGGCTCTGATCCAGATTTTCGCCTGCAGAGTAGTTAAAAGGAAGCTTTACGCACTGAACAATTGAAGAGAAGTAGATAGTGGTACGGTAACACGTTGTTTGGATTTCAAAGAGTGCTCTAATCGAAAGATGATGTATGGAACCGGAAACCATCTATTTTGACAGCTAGCTAAATCTTGGAGGCTACCGTTGCTTTGGTATGACAAATCTGGTCTAGCAACCCATTTCGTTCTGAATTATATTCGGCAACTTTTAGGGTATTTGTTTCTACTCAAATTATGTTCACATAATTTTTTAAATCGTAAGATGATAAGACGAGTGTTACCTACCGCTATCGTTGATGTAACAGTTGTCCTGTTGAGCTTGGCTAAGGGCAAAGAGGGCCAGCAAGGCTACAGCTCGCAGCATGGCGACAATCTGAAATCTTCGAAGTCGAAAGTGTCGCCTCGAATTCCAGCCAAAACGAGCCGAGACGTCAGTGTCCAGTCTTGGGTGAAAACCCCACACAAAAAGTGCTCTCACCCCTAATAGGAAAGTAGAAGTAATAGTAGCACCCGACAAGGTCACACGTTATAATTGTGTAATTATGATATGTTTTTCTTGTCTCCTACTAATAGGACAAGTTCTTAGTCGGATGTCCTTGAGAGGGTTTTTTTTTGGCGAAGATCACTGAGCAACCCAGACGCTGCAAGTTTTTGACATATATTTTTGGTGCAACGGGTACAAATGGTTGCGATGGTAAGATATACAGTAGTCCCCATTCTTGGATTCCTCCTGTGTAATTGCACACTTTTTTAAATTCGCACTGGCAGCTGCAAATCAAAGCTCAAGACCCTTTTACTCAATTTAATCGTCTTCATATTTCCTTACGTGGTTCTATCCCGCTTCCTTAGTAAAAAGTGAATCTACAGCCATCACTATGTTCCAGTACAAATTGCAAAAGTGGTGCAATTACACAAAGCGACTGTCGAAATGGGGGCGACCGTATATTAATTAGTGCCGTAAACTCCTCCTTTCAAGTACTCATTAGAATAAGAGATCAAGGGGGAAGATTAAGGGAATTGAGTTCCACTGAGAACACAATGAGAGGGCTAAAGGAAGGGGGAGGGTATAAAAGGTGAAGTTGGTTTGTAGAGCACATATGATCTACTTCTATTATATCCCTCAATTCCTTGCATGTCAAAGTAAAATGAAGAGCGTTGAGGTGGTAGACGGCGAGAGGAAGATAGAGTGTGGGGGGGAGGATGGAAGAATAGGTACTGAAGTATGATTCAAGAACATGCTCCCTTCGCTCAGGTAACCAAGAACTCTCTATCCTTTGAATCAACGAGACAACCGTACTTACTGCATTTGGAATTTCGCTCTATTTTCCTTCTATTTAGCCCCTTCCCCCCTCCCCTCCCCCCCCCCCTCCCACGCGCTCCTCTTTATTGCTCCCTCCTTTCCGTCCATTTTGATTTGAGCTATTCATGTCCTTTACGGAAGTCCTAAGAAAATGAGATTTACGAAAGTGATGAGCAGTTCCGTGAGAAAACGAGGCTCTCATCGAGTGCTAAGGGCCCCATAAAAGAGTGGGCCTTTCGTTGATTGGTGTTCAACATCTCGCTATTGAAAGAGCAGGGAAGGGTGGGTGGGGGGGGGGGGGAATAAAGCAAATGCTAATTCAGATTTTGGCGATAGAATGATTGCTCCTCAACATAGATTTTCAGGAAAATTCATCAAACTTCAAAATTTCTGTCATTATTCAATTTGAGACCGTGGTGATTACGGTAATGAAAAGTAAAGAATGAACAAAACTATAAATCTCGCTAACGGCAAAGATGAATGGGCTGAAGTGCGAGTAATTCTCGAACAAAGCTATAATACAAAATCCAGAATGATGGTGATCTGATGCAAATAGCCGATTTCATGAGCGCCACAAAGGGATCGACGGGGCGGCGGCGTGAGCGGGTGGCGGTGGATTGAGAACTTGCGTGGACCTGTGCTGGCCCCTGGGGCCTGTTCCACCTTGCGCATAGTCGCTTTATAAGAAACGAGCCGCGACAGATACAATACAGCAATAGCAACACAAGCTGGACGGGGGAGGGGGGGAGATTCATCCGTACAAGTGTACGGAAGCGCAAAGGAAGCCATGGAGAGATGTGTTTGGTAGGAAAAGTAGGCGTGAGGGGTACGGAACTAGTCTAAAATCCTGAAAGAAAAGAAACCATAAATTCACTGAGACTAGAGCCACACAAAAGGAAAGCTACTTGTCAGAGTTTTAAGAAAATTCAAATGCGCAAGACAATAAGGAATAGAGGATAGGAAAAGACAAGGGAATCCATTTTTTCATAACGCTGATTGTTACTGGATGGGGATAGAAAATCAAATCTGGCCGAATAGCTCTACATAGATTACCTAATTATAGCTATTCGATCTTAAAGCCCGACCTTCTGTGCAATATTTATACTCGAGCATTCCCTATAATGCATCCTCTGTGTTATTTGACCAGTGTCCTGCCATAATTTGTGCTCATCAACAAAACGCAAAAATTAAGACGTCGTAATTCATGATGCATATATCTTGAGCAGAAATTTTGAAAAATTGATTTGGACTTAAACCAATTGTTTGCAATTGTAGACCCGGACAGGAATATCTCCTTTCTCTACTTTTCGACAAGATTTAAAAATATCACAATCATTACACAAAGTCTGCGATCTTATTGATCTACCGCAGAATTACCGCATTCAATGAATGCGGATAATTCAGAACACAAAAGATTTATACTGGAATCAGGAGGAAAAAATAAAGAAAAAACAGTTTAACGAGCGTTAAGCCAATCATGTTATTTAAGCTTGAAGATTAAGAAGCAAAGCCTTCTATATGTAGCAGCCTGCTATGAGCAGGTTTCTCAAGAACAAGAAGAAGAAGCATCGTGAAAGGGGGAATTATTATTTTACTCTTGCAAATTTCTTCAAAGCTTCTGTCATGACGTCAAACTAAATTTCAAAATAGATTATTGTTTCGGTTATAAAAGAGTTTATACTGTAATATCGCAGAAGGATTATAATTTCAGATATACAAAAAAGATGCGCGAGAAGTGTTCTTCTAGAACTGGCGACGGAAATAACGAGTTCCATGGAAGATTACAATTGTGGAAAGCATGCATGCTGTGAATGGATATGTCAAGTCAATTCTGCTCAGACCTCCTTACAAGTCGCCGCGAGGTCTGCGAAATGATTGAGTCGTGCGATATCGCCGAAATACCAGACCCGCATGGAACAACTTTCCCTTTATAGCTAATCTACTACTCTTATGGTCATGATTGTAGACTAAACCGCTGTTATTCCACTTTCAACCGGTCCGCTACTCATGCAGAAGCACTCATAAAAAACTCACGAAAGAGCAAGATTACAGGATGCTGTTTGCGACCATTTTTCTTTGTATTATTCTGAACTAGTTGGCATACCCAGCTTTGCCTGCACCGTGGTTTAACTGGCTCAACAGAGAGCAAACTTGATGAGTAACTCGAAAAGTCAACTTATCTGCGCTTTGGCTTCCGTCTATATTTCGGTAACAGTGGAGCAGATAACTGCTGACCGCATAGCCGTGAATCACAGTATCATCCTCATCGTGAAATGAAAATGAGTTCTACCGCCCTTGTTTACACGGAAGGAACTGGCTTGATAGAACTTGATAAGAGTTCATCTTTCTCCAAAATCAATAAATCAATAGAGGGAGTGGGATTTTCGCCGCGGAAAGTAGCCTACGGGCCGGTGTCGAAAACATATGTATGCAAAGTTTGGCGCTGATCGTTTCACACAAGTTTTTATAAAGAACACACTAACCAACAATTTATCAACACTCAGCTTTATATATATGTACAGATAAAAAACGCTCAAATCACCTTTCGACTTAAAGGCAGTGTCCCGGCAGATTCGGGTCCTGGGGGATATACGTGTGGTGGGGTTCCTGGTCACCCCATCGACCTCCAGGCGCACTCTGGCTGGGTGATGTTCCCCCTGGGCCGAGAAAATGGCCCTTGAACCGGCGCGCGCAACCCCAGCTGGCGCGCGCTTGGACGGCCTTCCCCGCCTGTTCGGCGCGGGACCCCACGAGCGCTCTCCCCCATGATGCATGCTATCCAAAGCAAGAATTACAGGCGGCAGGATCTTCGTCTGAGGACCTCCCCCAACTTTCCATTAAAAATCTCGTCCAAGTTGCTTTTCTGGAATTGAGAAAACGCCCCAAAATCGGCCTTTCCAGCCCGTTCAAAGCTCAAATTCGGATTCTACGTGGCGGAAAGGCCTAAAACATGCAAAAAGGTGGAGGTGCAAAATCTCCCGGGACACTGCCTTTAAGCGCTGTTATAAATAAACTGGGAGGAGTTCTTTGTGAAATCTGAACCATTAAAGCATAAGCTATATCTGTACTGTATCTATTTGTAATTTGGAAAAACTGAAAGTTTTGAATACTACAGTGCCGTACAGGTTGTTAAATGGTCCTTTAATTGTTAGTACTCCGCGACCTTACGTTTCCATTCTTTCCTCTTCATCAGAGGCATGGAATGGTTCAAAGCTCCATCCGTGACTCCAGCTCATCAAATGCCTCCACAAGTCTTGTCAGTTTTCGGCTCCAGTCTAGTGCTACAATTGGGAAGACAAAAACATACCAGGGAACACCACCGCTTTGTTAGACATCCGTACCGGATGTAGCTGATCACAACGGACGCGTAAACTATACTGAGCTGGATGCCACATAACAGTTTTGGCTCACATAATGATAAAAACAGGAGGAACTTAGCAGTTACGAAAGGACACTCGTTTTTGTTGTTCATTTCTGGATTCCTTGCAGAGATCAAAATTTCCTAAGCTTTCCTAGCCGATATCTCTTTTTCAGATGCTAGAATTGTAACTTTGATATCAAAACCATTTCCACCACGCGATTTGTGCCTATGTCTGATAAGCGACGAAGCCAAGTTGTTGCGCCCTTTATCTGCCGATTTTGAATGTAGATGCTAAGCGTTCTTTCTATCTCCTCAATATAGCGTGCGTTACAGGCACTCAAGCTGATACACAACACCAACTTTTGTACAATCACACATTCTGCCGTGCGGACATATTACTCTGCATTGCTCTATATCGCAGTATTAGTCGTAGGGCCTGCTACATACAAGCTGTTCGGGATGTTCACTAACATAATAGACATCGTTTTGCAGCTGCGCATGAACGATACATTTCTGATTGGCAATGCTAATCTGTCAGAGATGAATGGTAAGCAGAGTAGGAGTTTGTCATCAGCTCGAATGTTGTTACCATTCCTTCGATGGTGAATGCGCGGTAAAAATGGTAGCCGTTATTACAAGCCTTTTGGCTAGCTAGTCTTCGTGACTAAGATTGCTCATTCCCTCATTCGCACATCTACATCAC